TCTGTTTTTCGCAAAAAGGCCCATTTTTTGTAAAAAAAAGGGCATGCATAGCCTTTAGGAGGCTTCCAGAGTGCTCCTGGGGGCTGGGAAGGGCGAAAATGAGTGAAAAACAGGGGGTTTTTTTGCTCGTTTTTGCCCCCTTCCACCAGTGCGCAGGAACACTCTATAAGCCTCCTAAAGGCTATGCATGCCCTTTTTTTTACAAAAAATGGGCCTTTTTGCGAAAAACAGACCGTTTTTTCCTCATTTTTGCCCCAGCCCAGGAATACTCTACAAGCCTCCTAAAGACTATGCATGCCCTTTTTTGATAGAAAGGCAGACTGTTTTGGAGGTCTGCAGAGTGCAAAAACTTTTTAAAAAATTTGTCTCTTCAAAATCTTGGTGCGTCTTATATTCCGCTGCGTCTTATACTCCAAAAATACAGTAGTTTCTGAAAAAAATTGGAAAAGTGGAACAAAGTAGCATTTTTAAAAAGTGCAAATATTTAAATCTTCAGTCTTCTAAACCCATTTGAATCTGCACCTTATGTCCAACACACACACACACACACACACACACACACACACACACTGTATTTGCCAGATTTCTTCCTGCAAAGCCTTGTGAAAGGCCACAGGTCAGAGAAGGAGAAGAAGAAGGAGAAGGAGAAGGGGAGAAAGGAAGGAGGAGGAAGATTAAGGTGACTTACTTGTAGAAAGGGCAGAGTGATGTCTGTACAATATTACTGCTTTGGGATCCTTTCCAACAGAAATAGTTTCCAACCAGTTCTTTTACTCGTTCAAGTGTTTTGCGTTCACAGGGATGAGGTTCAGCCCTGCAAGCTTGTGCAAGAGGCAAGAATTCAGAATCAGTATTAATTGTGTGCGACAAGAAACTTAAGCATACCAAAATAGTGGTGTAACAAATCTGTAGCACTTTGACATTACATGGATAAATCAGATTTAATAGCTTCTAACATCAGGTAACATCTTGGGAAACATGGTTGCCTGAATTTCTGGGGAGCAACTGCCAGTCAAAACAGGTAAGATTGGATTAGATGTCAGGTAGGCTGGGCTGATCTAAAGCAATTTTTTGTGTTTGACAATTAAGCACTTTGTCCCTTGGCAAGTTCTCTGATTTGCAATAACATTTTGATTAAACATTAATACAAGTTTAAGTAAAGGAAAAGGATAGCTCACTCTCATTCTCTCTGTCATTATCTCCAACATACTTATTCAGATGTGCAGGAAAAATCATTCTGAAAATATTTCTATTTGCAGAGACCACCTGTTGGCTACACAGAAAGAAACTGCAACCAGTATCTATACATGTTGCTATTTATGGTATAGCAATGCATGCCCTTTAAAAATCAACTTTCTAAAATATTTGTAATTATTTTTAATACCTGAATCTTAGAGATGGAAAGAGTCATTTAAGCTTCTGAGCTCAATCTTCTGTTTAATAGAGGATCCAAACTAAAGAATTGGCCTTGGTTTTACTTTAATTTACCCAGTAACCTAAACACACCCAATCAATTGGAATTCACTTTCAATAATTTATTCCAATGATGAATTACGGTTACTGTTGATTCCCCCGCCCTACCATTCAACTAGAATCTACCTTCCTATAACTTGGATCCAATATTCCATGTCCTGCACTCCAGAATTCAATTTTAACTCAGACTACTCCTTTATTGTGCTATGTTGCTGTTTGAATCTTTCTTAGATGCTAGAAAAGCTGCACGACATTTTTCTCCATCAAACAAAAAACTGTGGGAAGGTTGCAAAATACATAATAACATCATAGGGAATCTACTCTTAACATTCTTCAAATGACATCAGGTAATGAGGCAATAGAAAACAATAGAAAAGCTCCCTTATCCCCTATCTGTCAAAGAGTCATAAAATTAATTTTATTGCCATCTAGAGGTTTCTGGAGTCTGGCTATACCAAATTGACTAAATTAAATCAACTTACATAGAAACAACAACTTTATTGGGAGGGGGGAATGGCACAGTGAAAACATAGCTCTTAATTGAGCAATGGAAAACAAGGCACAATAAAAACAGAAGGTACTAAATAACACTTAATATGAGTGCTTAAAGTAAACTGAAGACCCAATTCTCAACGCTCTCTTGTTTTCTTGCAGACTTTCATTACCCAAACTAAGTAACATTATCAGTGCTAGTAGCTAGCACTGATGGCGTTCCATAATTTGGGTAATGAAACATCTACAAGAAAATAACCAAGCTCAGAGAGCATCAAGGAACTGTCCTTTCAACCCTGAGCTACAAATATTCTTCTTTATTGGTTAAATTAAACTTAAAATACCCGGAAATGCAGCATTGCAGATATCAGAGAGTGTAAGCACGGTATAAAGCCCATTGGAGGCATCATCAGTGTCTTCTGCAAACAGCGTATAGTATTCCACTGGCTCACTTGCTAGTGCATACAATTCTCCCCACCTGCACAAATGCAAAAACTTTTTTAAAAGTACATTGTACATCCTTACACATACAAATCTTCATTGTACAGAATTGGGTCATTCATGCTGCTTATTTTTTTAAAATGAATGGCCTAAGACTCTTCATTAAACAACATTATTTTTGTTATTTACAACAGACAAACATGTAAACTGGTTACAACCCTTAGGCTATCCTTTTTTCCAGTGGGAAGCTTCATTTCATACCTAACACCTTTCTGGCTTTTTCCTTGATGTAGGACATTATGTGCTCAGTTTTAGAAACACTTTTTACTGTACTATTAAACTTTATATGCAATCCTCAACTTACAACCACCATTGAAACTGGAACTTCCATCACTAAGCAATGTAGTCCTTGAGTTGCACCTAAAATGATGCCTTGTTTTGCCAAGGTCATTAAACATATTGCCTACTGATTTAGTTTCTCCCATTGGCTTTGCTTGTGATGGCCTGAAAGGTTGCAAACAGCAATCACATGATCCGAGGACACTGCAACTATTGTAAACACATGGCAGTTGCAAAGTTCCTATATTGTGATCACATGACTGCGGGGGTGCTGCAATGGTTGCAAGTTGAGGACCAATCACAAGTAACTTTTTTTCAGTATCCTCATAACTGCAAATGGTCACTAATCAAATGGTCCTAAGTCAAGAACATCCTTTAGAATTGCTTCTAAAATTTAGAATGAATTTTACCAGTTTCCCAATACTTCAGATTAAAATGTGTCAATATTTATCTGGAGCTGCCAAGGAATGCACTGGAATCTTTGGTATGCTAAAGAAGTAATTAATGACTGAGTTTTAAAAAGAACACCCACTGTTGGTCTTTTAAACTCTCAACGGCAATAAGCTCCTACATAGTGGATCCTCTCTGTCCTTGAAAGATGTGCATGCCAAATCTTCTATCTACTGCAGGACTTCCCTTCAATTCCCTTTAACTACTCTGTTACCCTGAAATAAGACCTCCCTGGATAATAAGACCAATTGGGGGGGGGGTTTGAGCATATGAACTAAACAAAGCCCTCCCCCTAAAATATTGCAACACAGCAGCAGCCATGAAGTGACCACGCTCACCGCCTCCTGTACCTCAAAAATAATAAGAACTCCCCAAAAATAAGGCCAAGTGCTTATTTCGGGGGGGGGGTCAAAATAAAATAAGACCCTGCCTTATTTTCAGAGAAACATGGTATTAAGTGGCAACAGCAATGGAACATTCCATGTCAACTTACTTTGGGAAGTTGACTCCAATTGCAAACACCGCAATCCCCCTTTCTTTTATCTGCTGGGCTAAGGTTGACACGTTGTCCTGAGATCTCCCATCAGTTAAGATTATAAGGATTTGGGAAACTGATGAGTTCCTGCCTCCACGGAATCCTTGTTGAAGAATGTGTTTTAGAGCAAGACCTGTTTTTGTTCGCCCACCTCTAAAGCAAGAAAAGCAAGCATTAGGAAAGCTTCAGGCACCCAGTTTTGTCTTCTTAACTTCTGATAATTCCTTATTAAGATCTATACATAACATATTTTTTCAAAAGTAAAGTGGAAATGAAATGTTTTATAACTATGGCATACACATATGCACATTCAATTATATTTAAACAGCTTGACAAAGCTAATAGTTCATTTTTTTATCGAAGAAACAACTACTCAAGTTCTCTTTACTAAAAATATAACTTTCTTATGAACATGGTACTTTATGTTCCCTGATATTAAACAATATAATTTTCCTTATTTGTTAAACTTCATTAAAAATGCTACTACATTGTGAGTTCAATCTGAGAGTTACTACTAAGGACAGTAAACTCCTGGCAGTTTCTTGGTTCTAATCATTATGAGAATTTCATTTATTTTTCCTATGTTGAAGGTGATATTGTCACTTAGTAAAGAAAAATTATAGTTGGATGTTCATCTTCAAGAAATACTGGATTTAGGAAAAACTATTAAAAATGGATGGTAAATTATTGCACAAGAGATGGTAGATATCTCTCATTTAAAGATATTTTATTACTTCAGACAAAATACATTATTATCAAGTAAGATAAAGGGATGAAAGATTAGTCTGGTAATATATATTAATCAAACTGCATCAATAAATTGAATGCACTTAATTGGATAATATGTCAAATTGAATGTAGGAATTTATTACAATCACAGCCTCATACATTATTTAGGATTTCCATGTACAGATAATATTGGGAACCAGTTTTGATATACTATAGGAATTTTTATTAAGAAAATAAAGCCATATTTTAGTAAATAAATAAACAAATAAATAAAAATGCATCTTATTGTAATTGTCTTCACAGCAGTCAAGTTCATTTGTATTATTTTGAAGAATAAAATATGATTGTACAATCTGCAACATCTTTTTTCAGTTTTTAATCTCCAGTCTTGCAGTTCTATTTAAAATCTGAAAAAGCTTGAACAAAATGGAGAAAGAGAAGGGGAAGGAGGGAGGGAGGGAGAGAGAGCGTGAGAGAGAGCAAGATCTGTATAAAGTATTAATTAATTCAATATGTTAACTAATAATCAGCATACATAGAAATAAATTCACATAAACATAGATGTAAATTCTGTAACAGAGATAGGACTTTTGTTGATGTGGTAGATTTTAACAGTTGTCAGATAATGTCATTTGTAAATCAATTTCAGACAGGAATCTTTTATTATTTTTGACCATTTTAAATTTATTTCTAAAAACGTCTTGTTTCCATAATTTATATTTGTATTTCTAATAATTCATAGTTTTGTTTGGCTTTATTAAAAAAATAAAATACAACCTCCACATTCAGTATAAATTAACAACCCATAAAGTTTGGTAACTGTGTTTTTGGTGCTTTTTTTGCACATTCCTTTTCAAATAAGTTTTAAACTGCCTATTAAAGTTAATTTACTTTGAATCTGAAGTATCTGGGGTCAACTTTTGCCCTTTTTTTTTCAATATACAGTATTTATAGTATAAATAATACATACGCTTCTGTGTTATTTATACTTTTTATTCTTTTTGTCATTTTAATATTTTTAAATGACATTGTCTGCCCTGAGAATGTTGATTATCAGAAACTATAATTATTATAATTATTATTATGTTTTATAAGCTATGATTTAAAGCTGTTTACATCCTTCATAACAGTATCCTTCACATCCTTTCATAACAGTAGAAACAAATCATGTAATTCCCTTCATTTGTTGTATGATGCTATTTATTCCCTTTTTCCTAACATGTGGGAAAAATATACGTATATTAAACATCTTGAGAAAAATAACTATGTAATTGTATGAATGTAGGGGAGACAGCTAAAACAACTGGACAATAGTCTCCCTCTGGTTACCTCCAAATGGGAGTGACTGTTTGAGTGTCCTGGAGAAGGGGGGAGAACTAGAGTGACAATGAGTAATTGAGTTGCAGTTAGTCATTGCTTTAGCCCACACCAAGAACTATTTCCAAATCCAACAGCATCATGGCATGCTCTCTTGTCTCAATCCAGGAGAAAACAATTATTTCTACCAGCCAGTCTCTTATAGCAGAGGTGTCAAACTCGATTTCATTGAGGGCCACATCAGGGTTATGTTTGACCTTGAGGGGGCCAAGGGGGGCATAGCCAGGATAGGCATGGCCAGCTCAATGTCGCTCTTGTTGGAGGTGCCTGTGGTGGTCTGCCAATGAAAATGGACTCCTGAGCTCCATTTTTGGCTGCAACAGCTTCCTGCAACCCTCTGCCAACAAAAACAGAGCTCAGGAAGGTCACCCATGGCCCTTGTAAGCTTCATTTTCAGCTGCCACGACCTCCTGCTGCTCTCACAAGCTCCATTTTCCTTGGCAGAGGCACCATGGGCCGGTCCTTTGCTGTTTCCAGGGGTGTCCTGTGGAAGTTTGACACTCCTGTCTTATAGCCATTTATCCTTCTCTTCTTTTCTATTGCAATGAATGTTAAGTTTTAATGACTTTTCAAGATATAATGGAGAAAGTAGAGTGAATAGGTATGAGAATCAAGGAGAGACATGCAGGAGAATTGCAGCTGCCTTGATTGCCAAAACAATGACTAGTCTGAAAGGGAAAACAACTGCTTTACAATTATACAAAGTTGGTTCATATCTATTATAACAGGGGAAATAGCTACTTCCTGGAGAGAAGAATGAAGCTGCACAGGAGATAGTTCACTCCTGGTGAATAAAAACCCAGATGTTGATTTGTGGGTGAAAACTTTTCCTTGTTCCTTTAAACACAATATACTATATTGATATATTTAACTAAAAAGCATAGGGTACCAGAATTATGCCTACTTTATGAATTGTGTTGATCTCTCCTTGAAGGAGTGGCTGTTTTCCAGCAATTGTTAAAGATTCAGTGCCCATCTGGCAGGTGTGGTTTCATATCCATCCCCAGACTTCCTTTTCAACAGGGAATGAAAGTCAGTTCTAGGAGTCCCAGAAATTAAGTGCAGCTTTCAGAAACCCATTTGGATTGTACCAGCTGATTAGAAGATTTTGGCAGCCACAAAACTTTGTATTATTCTGCTTAACAAAAAGGGATCTAGACTGGCAAGAATAGGAGGAAGAGTGGAAATGCTAGATGCTTGAGCAACCAAAATAGAACACAATTTAGTGCTTGGGGGATCAGATTTCCATCATGCAGATCCATTTTTTACACAAATGGATATGAATAATACAAAATACTTATACTGTATATCCACAGCAAATTGTATCTGGTGCTAGAACATAGTGACAAAATTAATTTACAAATATAAAAAAAAAGACCAAACTTCTATTATGTCTTTTGTGAAGGCAAGTTTAAGTTGTCCTAGTGAGTTGTTTGATGGTGATACTGATCTGTAAGTCAGAAAGCATCTGAGGTTCCTACTGTTTGCTAATTCCAAAGGGAATTATTTTATTATTCTTTTATTAGTAAGCCCAAATGGGTTATTAATTCCGCAATAGCATATGATTGACTAGTCATATTGAATTTTGATAATCTAATCAACTTTCTTTTGCTCATTATAGTATTAGCTAGGCTAGTTAGTTAGCTATTCATCCTTTCAGAATAGTAACATATCATATCATATGAGATAAAGGAACAGAAAAGAGCTCAACGATATCACTTATAATATTATGACCTAGAGTATGCAGTTTCCAATTAAAATTAGAATAACATTCTAGTACTTTGGCCTCTATTGGAGTCTATGGAAAAATAAATAAATCACTTTTATAACAAAACGTTCTTCCTCATAGTTCAGAAATGGACCCTAAAATGTTTATTTATTTTGAAAAAAATGAAACTAGTTCCATCCATTTTTTATTTCCTGGTGTATTCAGCATTTGATCACACTCTTGCTTTATGGTGCCTAATGCTTTAAATTACACATTTCTCTCTATAACAGCTTGTAATTTTTAATACTTTAAATTTCTGCCAAAATTGTCTTTGAACTCTTTTTTTAAAGCTTTTCCTTTATTCTTGCTCTCTGCTGCATTATTCTAAAGTTCCATGTCAGGAATGCATCAACAAAGTTGTGGTGGCAGTCATGCTTTTCCTGGCCAGCTGCATTTTGTCAATTGCCATCATTTTCCACCTCCCAAAACCTAAACTCACTGAACAGTTGGGTTTAGAGTTGCATTCTGTGATAAAGTCCATATCTTTAAACAGTCCTCCACTAATTGATATACTAGAATTGTAATTCTTAGAAACCGGGAAACTTAGTCCGATACTATTTGAGTGGGGAAAAGTTCTTTTATTCTTATTCCTCCAAGCGCTGGTCTGAGATTTCTAGTTTTCAACCCAGTATATCTCGAGTTCATCAGATTGGGACATTATCTTAGAATATTATATATAAAAGTTTTGCTTATAGATAAATGAGCTAAAACTCTTTCTGATTTAGAAAACTCTTGGATTTTAAATTTACAAAGCTCTCAGGATATTTTTTCTATACTTGCATGTTAAATATAACCATAAAAAAGCTAATATGCAGATCCATGTTGTTAACATGCCATTGGAAAAACTGCCTTACTGAATTGTTGGTAGCAACTATATATTTATACACATAGTTCACATGGGCTGAGACTAAGAGACAATAGGATAGAATTGAATATAGTAGGTATACAGATATAATTTCAACGCAATTCCTACTGTTCTTTATCCTGTGGTTGAAATGTGGCAACATGACAACTTAAAATCTCCTTTTAATTTATATAACAGAGTAAACAAAAACACAGGACAGCATAGGAACATGTAAAAATGATTGGATGATTTGGAGAAAGTAGCTAATACAGGCCCATCAGAAAAATGGAAATATTTATGGCTAATGAGAAATAGGATGCATGGCGGAGATCATGTGATATTGTACTAGGACTAAGGACAGCCAGTGTCGGCCATAGAAACTAATGGGGAGATTTTGAGCATTAAAAGATAGCTAATATAAATTGATAAGAGAAATTACAGACTTATTAATCATATGATACAATTTTTAATGTTTGAGTAAACTTAGGGAGATTCCATATGATATCCCAGAATGTCATTTTACTTTGAAAGAACTTTCTTTAAACAGAGGTTGGATACCTGTTCATCTACAATTTTTGGTTGATATCACATGAACTTTGAGCTCATTTAATGCAATTAAATGATTCAATGATCCAGAGCAAGAGTCCAAATACGAAATCTATCTTACTTGAACACAATCTTCTTGAGTTGAACTTTTATCTCATGCTTAGTGAAATATGCATCCAATGGGAATTCCAAGCGAGGAGTGTTGCTGAATTGTATTGCTCCAACTCTAACCTGAAAAGGTAAGATAAAGTTTGGGTGATCTCAATAGGCTAAGCTACAGAAACGAAATAAGCAAATTAAATTTCTTCTCCTCTTTAAAATTTCCTTTGCTCCTGATATTTTCCTTTCCTTCTAGTTAGGAAGCATAGGAAACTATAAGCAACATTGTCAGAGGAGTAACATTCAGAAGGGAAGAAGAAAACAACAATACACTAGCCAGCAGAGGCAATGGTGGCAAATTAGAAACACAAGTCTATTGTAAAACCACCCATACTAATCAAATACTGCCCTATCAAAGAAACAGCCCAAATTCTCAAAAGAGAAACTGTGTAAGAACACTACTTAGCCAAGTACAAAAACACTGCAGCAACCCTGAACACCAAAAAGAAAAAAAGGAAGCAGATCATCTCTACATTTTCAAAGGAAATGGAAATAGATGGATACCAGAGGTGGGTTGCTTCCGGCATTACTGCCGGTTTGGTGGGCGTGCAAAACAAGCAGTAAAGAACACTTCAATCAAGGAACTACAAACAGTAAATAGCAGTCTAATCAAGAAACCAAGAATACTTCCACCAACACTAACAGGGCAAACCACTAGTATATAAACAGAGAGAAGCCCCATTCCATTCTAGCACTGATAATGTTACATAGTTGGGTAATGAAATGTCTGCAAGAAAACAACCAAGTTCAGAGAGCTCCGACAACCCCACATTAGATAGGGCTGCAAAGCACTGTGAAGTGGTTTACAGCCCTAAGTGCTATTGCTATTATGATCCAGACATTTCTGTAATTGGGCAGCATTAACAAATGCAATAAAAATTAAAAAAAAAATTTTTTTTTAAAAAGTATGCCCCACCTACCTAAATGGAGAACAGTATAAAAATACCACCTCCTCCCAATAAAGATAGAAGGAATGAAACGTTTCAGAGAGAAATTGTTCTTTACATTCCAGATTCATTACTCACATATCCCTAGGTTAGATTTTATTGCAATGCTGTTAGTGTTGTGAGAAATATATGAGTATACTTACCTTTTCTGGGCTGATGTCCAATGCATCACAAAGCTTGATTGTCAGATATTTTGACCTTTCAAAGCTTGCTTTGCCAATGCTATAGGATCCATCTAACAGAAATAAGATATCGACTGGAGCAGAGCAATTCATTACTGAAAAAAGACAGAGGCAATTTCTCATAACCTTTAACTTTAACATTTTGAACTGTTCTGCTGTTTTGGGATCATGAACAGGGGGGGGGGGGTCAGAGAAAGAGAAATGAACACTAAAAATAAAGGTCACTATTAATAACATTTTTATAATACAATAAATAACAAGGGAAAGAAGAGGAAATCCAGCCATCGCTGCATTTACTATCTAAAATATAAAGCTTCTATATTATTATATATTCTCAACTATCAGGTTAATCTAGTAGGTAGGTTTATAAGATTACTTGCTAAGCATTATTACATGCCAATATAATATATCTTTAGTGTTTTTGATCATTGTAACATCAGTTGTAACAAGTAGGTGGTGTAGGAGTCATGTTTCAGGCTTCCTCTCTGAGGCAGTATCATCTAATGGGATCCCGGAGATATTTTTGTTAATTTCCCTTTCCTTTGGAAGAAGCTGCCCCAAGCCCCAAGGTTTGTGCAGTAGGACAAGAAACAATAGATGAAAACTAATCGAGGAGAGATGCAAGTTGCAATTAAGAAGTAACCTGCAATTCAGGAGTAACTTCCTAATGGTGACAACAATTAACCAGCAGAACAGCTTGCCTTCAGAAGTTGTTGGTGCTTCATCATTGAAGGTTTTTAAGACAAGTGACAGCCACTTGTCTGAAATAGTATAGGGTCTGCTGCTTGAGCAGGGGAATGGACTAGAAGATCTCCAAGGTCTATTCTATTCTATTCTATTCTATTCTATTCTATTCTATTCTATCCTACCCTACCCTACGCTACCCCACCCCACCCCACCCCACCCTACCCTATCCTTGTCCTATGCACTAGACCAGTATGGCAATTGAGTCTGTCCTGCTGGAAGATGAGTTAGTCTCAGTTGTATGTGTATGGTGTAGCTGGCTCATTTGATTATATATATTATTCCTTTGTTCAATTTTGACTGCTTTTGATTTTTATTGATATATGCCAACCAGACTCATTAATTTTGAGTTGTGTAGCTTCGCCAATTTCTTTAATGAATAAATAAATCCCAACTAGCTTTCCCCTTATCTCTCCTAACTATCACAATTAAAAATCCTGAAAATGTTAGAGATCATTAACCTGGGCTTCAGTTTAACAAATGTCCTCATTCTAGTATCATCCAGCCTCTCCCTCAACTCAACTCCCAGCCTTTAGCTATAGCAATAGCAGTTAGACTTATATACCGCTTCATAGGGCTTTCAGCCCTCTCTAAGCGGTTTACAGAGTCAGCATATCGCCCCCACAGTCTGGGTCCTCATTTCACCCACCTCGTAAGGATGGAAGGCTGAGTCAACCTTGAGCCAGTGAGATTAGAACCACTGAACTGCAGATAACAGTCAGCTGAAGTGGCCTGCAGTACTGCACCCTAACCACTGCGCCACCTCGGCTCTTCCAGCTATCCCTGGAAAGTACCAATTAAGAGAAGACTGAACCATATAGTTAAAAATAGCTCCTAGACAGTCTGCAACTTTCCCCCTAAAGTTCTAAAATGTGACAAGCAACCCAATACCTTCCAGATAATTCTGAGTTCTGACCCAGAATATATCCCATGGAAGTTGTGGAATCAGAGTTAAAGACATCTGAAAAGCCTAGCCTAAGGAATGTGGAGATTTTACATAAAATTCTTGTGGTTGAATATTACTGCATTTTATTCTTCCAGATATTCAACTAGAAAAGTTTGTTATTGGGAGGACTAAAATGGAACCATTCTGAGAACAGCAGCTGTTTCTAACTAGACACAAGATATTATTCCTTTAGGTGCTTAACCAGTTTTTCCTTGTGTACACAATATGAATCACACTAAGTCATGCTTTATTAAGTAAAGTCACAACCAGTTGAGTTTCAATACCACTTTAAACCATTATCTAAAGCTACAAATCATAATGAACAGATTTATACAGCACAATTATTCAAACCAAATCAAGCCATATTATTCTTTAACACAAAGGGAGTTCCTACCCCTCAGTTTTTTAAAAGACAAATATAATTATTGTTGTAAATCCTTTCTGGATTTAAAAGGTTGTTTTAGCTGCGGGTCTGAGAGATCTGTAGTTATGAACATTAAGTTTTCTTGTTATATTACAATTCTTTTATAATCTGCAGATCAGATATCTGAGTTTTGGTTGATGCAAGCTTCATACAAACTTCATGTTTCCCTGAGATAATGTCCTGGCTTTACCCGAACAAGGACAAACTTGCTTGCAAAATAATTGCTTGCTGCTCCAAAGACTTATGCCTCAAGATAGAAATCTCATGTTTTTTTAACAGATGAATATAAGATTGTCCTTACATAGGGAGGAGCCCATGAAAACACGCAAAGCACAAATATGCCTGGGAGAAATTGGTTTTCGTCATTGCAGACAAAAAACTGGGAAAGTTTTTTTTCCAATTTTTTAAAAACATAAATAGAAACTGCATAACATCAGTGGCTAAGGCAGGCAACCTTAGTTTAATGCTTTCTTTGTTACACTAAGGGATCATCATTCTAATCTTTGATTTCTCAGAATTATTCAGATTTATAAGGCTCAGACCAAAAAAAGCTACAATTGTGCTTTAACAAAAGCTTCATCTGGTTCAGAATATAGCAGCATCTGCAGTCTTAGGCACACTATGCTACATCTACGTCAGTGGTGAAATTCTACTTTTTTTACTGCCGATTCTGTGGGTGTGGCTTGGTGGATGTGGCAGGGGAAGAATACTGGAAAATCTTCATTCCCACCCTACTCCTGGGGGAAGAATATTGCAAAATCTCCATTCCCATCCCCGGCCAGAGGTGGTATTTGCTGGTTCTCCGAACTACTCAAAATTTCTGGTACCAGTTCTCCAGAACCTGTCAGAATTTCACCCCTGATCTATGTAATACTGTTCCTGTATCAGTTTCATAGACTCCCTAGGCTGATAGGTGTAATTCAAGATGCTGGCCTTTATCTTTAAAACCCAATATGGCAGAGGATGAGGTCATCTGTTTCGACTGTTTCTATCCCACCAGATCTTACAGAATGGACATGTTGTGGATACTATAGGCAAAACAGTGTCACCTGATGGGCCCCAGAAAGCATGATTCCTTCATTATGGTCCCTGCATTATGGAACAGCTTCTCCCCTCTAAATACAGCTTTACTTTATTGATCTTTCACATAGTTAAATAAGATTATCCCCCAGTCCTTAAGGTCACAATGTTTTTAAGGTGGGTCTGCTATGGGCAATGTGAATGGTAGCTTTTGTGGTTTTACTGATTAACAGTATAGCTTTATTTGGTTTATTTTAGAAAAGGATACTTTGTTTTTATTTCGTTTGCTGCCTAGGGTTTCTTGGTTACATTTATTTATTTATTTGACTAGTACACCACACATCTCGCCTAGATGGATGGTCATATAAACTGAATAAATAAAATAAACAAATGAAAATACAAACAGAAATCATCTCTTCTGGACAACACATCATTATCTCTAGAACTCAAAAGACAAACTATGGGATTGTATATATTTCTCCTCAAAAGTAAAATAAGAGACTTGGACTGCATAAAATGTGAAACAGGAATTTATAAATGTAAAAAATAAGTCCTTAATGCCCACAGGAGGACGTATTTAATGTCCTAGAAATTGACCTGATTAATCACATTCTGATTACCACTAGGTGTTGGAGCTGAACAACATTTTAGAGTGTTCAGGAATAAGTCTGGTGCTTTTTAAAGTGGTTGCTTTTTTCTTGGACCTGTTGCTTTAAAGAAGTGGCCCACAGGATTTTCTTAGAACCAAGCTGAAAGTATTACAAGTCCTACTGTATATTGATGAAACCCAAAATAAGTAATTTAAGAAGCAGTTGCAAAGGAGAAAGAATAATTTGTAATAATAGAAAATAATTAAATATGTATGGTTTTTTAGTGAAAAGGATAGTACGAATACCATATTTTTTGGAGTATAAGACACACCAAAATATAAGACACACCAAAGTTTTGAAGAGGTAAATTAAAATAAAGGTAGGTAGGTAGCAGTGACGGGCAGTGAGGTTTATGGCTGGTGAGGCAGCAATTTTTTTAGACTTGTGGACTTCAACTCCCAGAATTCCACAGCCAGGCATGCTCAGTTCCGATTTGTTTTTCTCCTTTGCTAAATAAGTTTCCTTCTTTCTTTTTCTTTTCTTCTACCTTCCCCTCCTTCCTCCATCTCTCCCTCCCTCCCCCCTCTCTTAAACACACACACACACATGCACACACACAAAGTTGCACCAGGATTCAGAAAATTTAGGGTTTCCTCCTCAGCCTATGTTAGCAATACCACTAGCAGTATTTTGGCTGGCAGGTGTAAGTAGAAGTTCATTCTACTGAAAACATTGTTTTGCTTATGATTGGATAATTAAAATTTCAGAAGACCCAAAGGCATAGTATTAGGGTGTTACATAGTGCATAAACTAAAGAACTGTCTCAATATGCTTCTTCCCCCCCTCTCTCAAACACACACACACACACACACACACACACACACACAAAATTGCACCAGGAGGATGAAGTTTGAATTCCTTCCGTTCCCTCTAACACACACGTACCTTTCCCAGCTGTTTCAGAGAGGATTTCAACTCTGCTGTTGCCTGCCATCATAAAAAGAAAAAAAAATGTAAAAGGAAAAAGGCAAGAGCTGAGGTCAGGCTGAGCTAGTTGCTGCCAGAGTCACTGTGGATGACTCTGCTTAACTGTTTAAAAAAGCCTCTAAAAAAGCACCCTCTACAGGAGGAGGCAAGAGAACGACGTGCCTCATCTACGTCAGGAATTTTTCGGCTTTTAATCCTTGCTTAACTCTGCTCGAGTAATCATAAAACGCCAGACTAGATGACGCACATCGTTCTCCTGCCGCCTCCTGTAGAAGGCACTTTTTAAGAGGCTTTTTTAAACAGTTAAGCACTAAGCAGAGTCATCCATGGTGCCTCTGGCAGCAACTAGCTCAGCCTGACCTCAGCTCTTGCCTTTTCCTTACACTTTTTTTTCTTTTCATGATGACAGTGGTGAGGGTCTGCCTCCCCTGCCTCCCCTGACTACACATCCCTGGTAGGTAGATAGAGGGAGAGTGGGGGGAGAGAGAGAAATACACTAGGTAGGTAGGGAGAGAGAGAGTAGGTAGGCAGATAGAGAGATAGAGAATAGAAATACAGTAGGTAGGTAGCGCGACAGAGAGAATAGGTAGGTAGGTAGTTGTTTCCAGGTGTATTTATCCATGTGCTGGAGAAGGAAATCACTGACAACCTGCAGCACCTAAGATTTGTTTCTGCTGGCACAGAACTTGATCAATGTAATTCTCATCAATCACTCTAACTAAAGAGCTTTCCGAAAGGGGGGGGGGTTGCACTCTGCAAACCCCCCCAAAATGGCCCGTTTTTCACAAAACCGGCCTCATTTTTTTCAAATAAAAGGCATGAATAGCATTGGGTGGGGGTTTGCAGAGTGCTCCTGGGGGGGAGGGGCAAAAAAGAGCAAAAAACCAGCCATTTTTCACAAAAATGGGCTGATTTTTTGTCAAAAAAAATGCATGCATAGCCTTATGAAGGCTTATAGAGTTCTGCCGGGGGCTGGGGGGGCAAAAAATTGCCAATTATTTGCTCATTTCTGCCCTCCCCAGCCCCTAGGAGCTTCTTGAAAGCCTCCATAAGGATACACACAGCCATTTTGGTGAAGGGGGCGGGGCTTTGGGAGGCAAAAAAATGCTATATTCAATGTATAAGACACACCCAGATTTTCAGCCTCCTTTTTGAGGAAAAAAGGTACATCTTATACTACGAAAAATACGGTAACTACTGTATACAAATGAAATACTTACATTGGGAAGCGGCTGAAATCTTCTCAATTATTTCTTGACTGACTTGTAGCTCTTGGATACTCCATGATATAAATACTGCAACATTAAATAACAATCGAAACTGTCAACACTTACCAACATACTTCAAGAAAATCATGTCATACCATTCTTTTCAAATGTCTGCCAAAAACCATGACATCCATCTGGGGTTTGAACCTCATTGTAACATTAAAGATATTAACACCATTATTCACAACACTAAAAACTTCTTTTCCAAATTCCATAAAAGTTAAAGACTTCAATTTGATTCAACAAAAGAGAAGACAGCTAAAAAAGAATGCAGCTTGTTATGTAGCCTGTACATTAATCAGCAACAAAAATTAGAAATTGAACTGAAAGATCTGATTTATATGCACTACACCGAGATAGCGAACCTATGGCACGCGTGCCACAGGTGACACACAGAGCCATTTGTCAGGGCACACAAGGCATTGCCCTGTCAGCTGGCCAGCGTGCATGTGCACACCGGCCAGCTGAGTTCAGCCCTTTTTTTTAGCCATTTGTTTGGGAACAGACTTCCAGTTTGCTCGTATGGCTGTTTTTAGTCCTCTGGAGCCTTCAGGAAAGTCTCCTGAAGGTCCCTAGAGGCTCCGGAGGACTAAAAATGGCCATACGAGCAAATCAGACTTCTGGTTTACTCATAGGGTTGTTTTTAGTCCTCCAGAGCCTTCAGGGAACCCTCCAGAAGGCCCCTGAAGGCTCCAGAGGGTTTAAACCAGCCCTACGAGCAAACCAGAAGTCCGTTCTCGAAGTTCCAATTTGCCCCTAGGGCTAATTTTTTGCACTCCGGAGGCTTCATGCTTCATGCTGGGGGTTGTGCATTATGGGTGCAGCATGCCCAAGCACGACCCTTGTGCTCCTCCCGCTTATGGCACGATAGCCAAAAAAGTTTCACCATCACTGCACTACACCATTATATAACTACAATCAATCATTTCACAGCAGTTATTATGTTTGTAACAGTTTTAAAGTTGATTAGATACAAGAGTAGATATTATTGCATTATCATAGCACCTAGGTAAGTGTCTCTGAATGATAGACTGAGCCTAAAAAAATGTCCTATGCTTTAGAATTAACAAAATGCTTGCATGATTGTTTAATGGTACTTGCTTTAGGGATCGCTTGGTTGAACTGAGAGTAAGTTTCTGGTCTCTCTCTTTATCACTGCTCTTTGTTCTGTGATGAAATAGGAAGTGGAAAAACTGGTTTTATTGTCTTTAGTGAATAAAGTCTTTAGTGAAAATAAGAAAAAAATCAAGCTGGATCTATGCTATTGTGAACATGTACAGTTGTTGACACAGGGTTTACAGTGGCGATAGTATTTGTCTACTACACTAATATTGTGTTTTAGTTGAAAATTAGGAAGCAATTGACTAATACCTAACATAACTCTATGCATGCATTATTAATAATCACAGACGAAAGAAATAAAATCACATACAGCGATCAGGCAATAAAATAAATGGAGACTCATTAAAAAATCATAAACCCTCATTCAAAATTAATGCTTCCTAACTGGGATTGCTACTGAACTAAATTTTAGCTACTTTCATGGAGCAATCAGTGAACCAATCTGCTAATAAAAAATGCACTACCCACACTGGGCACTTAGTGAGAAAGTTTTTGAGACAGGCAGCTAGAAAAAAGGATAGTCACATTTATTTATTAAACAAATTTATATGACCATCCAACTTACACACAGTGATTGGGGGGACAGGACGGGATTACAACATTAAAATATCACCCATGGAACAGTCACTCCAGCAGTGACAACGCACACCAACTACTTGATCAGTTCCGTATCAACCAGGGGTCTCCAAACCTGCTAACAAAACTACATCTTCACGAGAAAGTAACAAGACGGGTGCCAATCTTATCTCCAGCAGAATGATATTTCAAAGAATGGAAATCACAAGAGAAGGCCTATTTCCTTGGTCCCACAAAATGTATCTTCATACTACATGGAACTTGCAGGTTAAATTGCCTTCTTGTGCTCCTTCAAGTAATCTAGCCCTAAGCAACTTTCTCCATTGCCAAACATGACATAAATACTGTGCATTATCATACGTTTCCTCTAACACAATGGACGATAACAAGTCAAACTTCACTAGGGTGAAGACTCTCTTTCAAGGAACAGAGAGAATGTTAAATAAATATTTAGGGGTGAAAAAGGCTCTGTAAATTAGGATTCTTGTTGGTTCGAGGCCTTAAGCTTGTCACTTTGTAGGTACAAATCAAAGATTCTTTGGCTTCTATAAAAGATTTTTCAAGATCAAGCATGATCAAAGATTGAGTTGAAAGACTCAACAGACTAAATTCTTTTTTCCACAGAGATAAATCTACTGTTAAGGGTATCTTAAACTAGAGACTTGCCCCAAAAAACTAGTTTTAGCCAGATTTTTGAAAAGCAAATTCTCATACAATCTTCATCAGATATAAAACAATGAAATATGTTAAACATACAACAAAGCACAGTGCATGGCTTATTTAAAAAAACCTTGAATTACACTCAATATGTTTAAATCATAAGTGGAAAATTAATGACACTCAAAAAAAACCAGCCTAAGGTTTAAATATTTGGAAATCATCCAGTCTTTTATAATGTGGAGATAACAACCTCAAGACATTTCAGTCCATACCTGAAATCTTTGAAAACTGCAATGAATTTTGCCAAATGTAATATGCATAATTTTTTCAACTGCCATCAAGTTACCGTATTTAGAGCAAAGATGTTGATTCTCTTGCTATGTTACAACATAGTACATGGTAGATGCTAATTTTCAAAGAACTAAGCATCCAGATTTATTCTCTTTAGATGCAGTCCTTCCTTCCATACCCTGTCATAAACAGATGGGTGTTGCATGATATACCACACACTATCATTTCATTCGCTGCTGTCTAAAAGTAAATTTTAAAAATTACCTTGGGAAAACAGGAAAGTGCAAAGTGACTCAAAATGTAGGAAGTTCATGAAGACCATACTGAAAAGGGAAAAGATATGTGTTACTATAAGTACTAACCCATTTTTGACTTTTTTTTTAATTTCCCATACTTTAATATCAAATCAAATCTGTATTACAGTCATAGACTGTAAAGAGAATAGGGGACTTTAATATCCATTTGGTGAAAAATTTAAGCCTTCAATCCAAAATGAGATTTTAGCAGAAATATTTAAACACAACAAAAGATGGGAGAGAAGAATGTTAAAAATAAATGGACCATTTTCAATGGGTGATTTCTTGCAGAGATTTTATAAGAGGAAGCAAAATGTAGCTATAAGTGTAACTGAGCATAAATTGTGCTTTCCCAGTCTAAGTTTACTACAGATCAGGAAAAAGCTCAGATAGAATTGCTGCCGATACACAATTTAATGTGGGATGGCTTTTTTCCTCTCACAAAGCATCATTTACCAGCAAGAAAATCAACTACCAATTGTTTTACTTAATAAAAGTGGCTTGTAGTTGGGGAACTCTGGATTTCCCCTCCCAGAGCGTGCAGCCTTATTTATTTGCTTGCCTGCCATAAAATTACCAACCTGATCATTATTTGGGGAGAAGGAACAAAAAAAAACAACAACCCTAAGCTACAACATAGGCTAATCAAGAAGAATTATACAGTACTTTTCTCCAGTTCAGAAGCCAATTTGGGAAGAACTGAAGTCATTAACCGTCTTGATGGAAAAGATCTTTGCTAAACTTAGGCATTTCTGCAAACAGTAGAAGTCTGGCTAAAGAAATAGAATCACTGTTGGTTGGACAACTTGTTGGTTGGAAAAGTTTCGGGGCAGTTTTAGAAAGTGGAGACAACCAAACAAGCATTACAAGTACATCAAGCATTCTGTAAGAACATTCATGACTCTCTTTTGTCCAATAATAATTAAGAATTGATTTCTCTTCAAGTTTACCCTCTTTTGTATACATGAAGATTTCACTTTAAAATTTTTGAGCTTCAGAGTGAAAAGAGGAAGCTCAACACTACATTTAATTCCTTCTAAACAGATAAAAGGCACATACTCCTACATAAAATTCACTTTCCAAAGATCTCCCTTTCCGTCAACTCAGGAAAGGCTTAGGAAGATCATAGGAAGATGCTTGCTGCCCAACCATCTCCACTAGCTAGGCCTGCATAACAGCCCTTTCTTCATTTCCCAACACAATATATAAACTGTTGCTGGGAAGACAAAGGTACTTATTTTGAGTTATGTGACAGAAAGGCATTTATATCCCACAATTTAGCACAGCTACCACACACAAATGGTACTGAAGTTAAGCCCCTGCCCTCACATGCACCGAAGTAAAACTTTCATCTTCCTAGCAGCTGAAAAGGCTCAGCTTCATGAGGTTTATAGTCTAACCCGTGTGTGTGTGGGGGGATGGGGTACCAGATTAGAGAAGGAACTTATATTCTCATAAAATGCAGTTTATAACAACTCTCTATTAAGCATTCTCTTTGCATTGCATCATTACTTGCTTTAGGATTGTTTAACTCAACAGCCATATCAACTTGTTATGGATAAATAATTTATCTACCCACAGTATGTGCATTTGTCTCAGAGGTATTAAGAAATACTTTCTTTTCTTCCCACAATAGGACAGAAAAAGTACTGGCATTGGCTTCATAATTCACCGTACAAAAAGCAGTGACCAGCTGTTCTTTTCTGAAAGGTTCTGCTATAAAGTTAGCCAAGACTCATCTCAAAAGAACACAACATTTTTCTAAAGTGGGGAGCTGTAACAAAGACCTCCATTTAAATATAGCCTTGGTAATCTATGGAAACCTTTATGTGTATATCTCTACAGACACCCTGATTCAAGTATTGACATTGTATTGATGGAGATGCAACTGTAAAGTCATAGTGATATAGTGTTACATTATGACATAAAGTTATAATGAAGTACTGTCATATTATGGCTTGATGGTGCTCCTGCTTCTTGTGGTATCAAGTGGTATTCTCTTTGCAACGTCTCTGTATGTCTTTGTAAGAAATACACATAGGTCATGATTAAACATGTTAAATCTATTATATTTGGCAAACCAAAAACAGCAGAGGCAAATTTCTCATTATTTATTCATTCATATTTGCATGCCATCTACTCAGGCAGTGTTCAGGGGCCACTAACTTGATTCATTTAAAAAAATTAAAAAAGTTAAATTAACTGATGAGCTATAAATAGAAAAACATGAAAAAATTTACAAAAAAATTGATTCATGTTTCCTATTTTTAGCTCATTGGTCTGTGAAGAAAGCGAATACCACGCTGTATAATTTGCAGGAAATGTTCTCCTTGACAGTATCTGGCTCCTGCTATTGCCCTATTAGCCATTGCTGAGCTAATGATGGGAATCATTAACAAAATTCCCGGATTTTTTAAGGCACTTGGTTGGAAAGATCCATTAGCAATTATATAGCCGGCAGATCTGCATCTCCACTGCAGAAGGTCTGTGGGCACAGAACTTATGCTATAGCATACATCCTGAATTTTTACCAGAAGTAAAGAGTAATAGGTGGCCTGTTGGTGCACATTGTACAATCTGAGAATCAGTCTCAGGTCACGTATTATTGCTTTTTAAATATATGAGTAACTTACAAACCTGTTCGTGCTGCTCTAAATAGCAGTGACATTTTCTAATAAACACGCCTTTATCTAGCTGGCAAGTACCCAAGTTTATTCTAGCAAAAACTTTCCATGGAAACTATCATCTTGTGACCCAGAAATAAGGCTGCTATGATTCAGAATGAACTTCAGTGAATAGTTTGGAACTCGGTGTTATGCCATTTATCATATCCCCGCCATCAATATTCAGGGCTTCATTTTTGCTTTTAGGTGTAATACTTTGTAGCAAGTTTTAGTCATTCATCCTGAGATGGAAGATATAACATCTAGGGATGGATATTTCTTGATGACAGTAGAACAGTTTCAAATACAGACATTCCTACTACACAGTAGTAATAGCTATAATATACATAAACCGAAGAGAAGTGAAGTTTGTATTAAATCAAACCACGAGAACTAGCAGATTTAAACCTTGTTGAAGTGTTGCTATTAAAACAAAGGGGTTATTATTTTAGGGATTGGAAGCATCACTTAATTTTTTTGACAGAATGAGAGGAGCAATGATCAGGACAGAATGAAAAGGCTGGGGGGGGGTAGGGAGGGAGAGAGGATTTTTTGGAAATAATGTTATAGCATTGTTTCTGGTTCTGTTAAAACTGTATTAACCCTACCATAAGGCTTAGTTTGGAGGCAGTGAATGTTTATCTCAAAAGACATAATATATGAACCCAAGATGCTTGTTTAGATCTCACTAGGACATACATTCCTTAAAAAAATGAGGTTCAAATGTAAAATAAATAAAGCTTACCAGTGTAAATGGAAACTCTAATTGTATATTGAAGCAATATTTGGCTATCTGTTCTCCCTACCACTTCTGTATCCAATTACTCTTTAGAAACAATGTCCAGATTTACACAGGACAATGGCTGTTGTGACTCTACATGTCATCCTAGACTTTCAATCACCCTCCTAGGAGTAAGCAATTGCTCTTAGTCAGAAACTCAGCATTTTCCTCTATTAGATACAGAAAAAGATCAGAGAAATGTGTGGGAGATGATGAGAAAGAAATGGAAAACTAAGACAGCTCCACAATATCAATTGCAGTGAAGAACAAACACCTGGTGAGCAGACCGGCTCTTTAAATCTATCTGGGTGATAGATTATAGGCAAACACCTATAAGTGCTTCAGTCAGCTGCTCCTCCTGAAGAGGTCGGCAGGTTTTGAGCACTGAAAGATAACGCAACAGACATCTTGTTCAACTTGCTTTCAGTGCCTTTTTAAAGACAGATTCCATACTTTCTTTTCTAATTACATTTGGAAATTACATAGACTTAAAGAATACTTGCCACGGGAAAGTCAATTTGTTTTGAATTTTTTTTCTAAGACGTAAAACAGATAAAAGAATTGTAAAAATTGGATTCTGACTTCTGCTGGTGAAAATGGCAGTCTTCGAAGTTGGACAATATTGCAAATTTTTCACCCCCAATTACTCAGGAAGGCTTTTTCTTCCTCCAGATTTAAGGAGAAAACCTGAAATTAATCCATCTGTCCTCTGGATTGTCATTCATTGCTAGAAAGTAACAGAAATAGAGATTTCCTGAATGAGCTGGTTTGAGTGAGTGACAAGGAGGCTCGGTCTTCCATCAAGTGCACAGCTGTAGTGCAGTCTAAATTTATGGACACTAGAGCTGACTTTCATTTCTAATATAATTTTTGGAGTATACTTTTTGGGAGTAAAATTTCTACTTCAATTAAAGGGAGGCTTTCTTCAGATAGGAATAAAATTGCAATTTTTATTATTTCTGGGACCATAATATTTTGAAACAGCTGAGATGTTTGCGTATTTTTGCTTGCTTCACAAAAAATTGAGAACTAAAAAGAATTACTTACCTGATTATGTTTAAATAATGAGTTTCTGGTGATGTTGAATGGATAATGGCCTAATTGAGTAGTTTTTTGGTATCTAAATAAGGGGTGATTATTTTTGGTTATATTTAATAGTTTTAATTTCTTTTTTTCATTGTTTAATTGTTAAGAGTATAACTTAACAATTCCATCTGCCGGTCAATGTCGACTGGCAACCATGCGGAGGAGAGCCTTCTCGGTGGCAGCTCCGACCCTATGGAACGATCTCCCCATGGAGATTCGTACCCTCACCACCCTCCAGACCTTCCGGACAGCCCTTAAAACCTGGCTGTCCCGTCAGGCCTGGGGTTAAAGACCGTAACCCACCCAAATGGTATGAATGTTGTGCTTTTAATGATGTACAGGGCGGGGCATAACCTTTTCCTAGGGGGTCACAGCAACACTTGTAATAACAACACAAATAATTCATACA